TTTTTTTCCTGCTCCAGCAAAGTTTAGGGAGAGCCGCTGCCCTCCTCAGCCTTTCCCTATAGGAATTAGGGCTCCTCTTCGCTCGCAGGGGCTGATGCATCCCAGAACCCTCCGTTCCCTGTGGACGGGGAAACTGAGGCACKGGGAAAGCTGTGCTGGCAGCGGCCTCATCCCAGAAAACCCCAGAAATCCCATGGAAAACCCTCGGGATGCGGGGACAGGCCACYGCCGGGTGACAAACGACAAAACCTCCCGTGTCCTCTCGTCCCCCCCGTGCTTTCCCGGAGCTCTCCAAACAATCCGGGGGGGAACGGGCAGGGCTGGAGCTGGGGAGGATCTGGCGGCCGCGCTCCTGAGCTCATCGCTGACTCACTGGGATGTTCTAATCCCTCACCTTGCTTTGGTTACTGCAGGAATTAGGAGAGGGGAGGTTTGGGACGCGGGGGAAAAGTGGGGCAGAGCTCTGGGAGGGATCAGAGCTTCGCCYTTTGGGGTTAGAGATGCCTCTCCGCACCCCAAATATGGGATTTTTTGGGGGGAGGGAGGGGAAAACCCTTCCAGACCCTGCTCTGGCTSCTCCCTGGAGCAGATGGGACAGGGTGACATGCACCTGTGACCTTGCCCGTGGCCCCAATTCCAGGGCAGATCCCAAAATCCCAGGAAATTGCCGCCTTTCCTTCCAGGGACCCACCCAGAGCACCATCACACCCTCCCTGCGGTTCCCCAGCATCTCCGGTGGTTTTGGGCTGCTTTGGGGTATTTTTAAACCCTTCCACATTGGGGTTTTCCTGGTTCGTGGCTCTTCTCCATCCCAAATGGATGAGCTGGAGCTGGGACTGAGTGGAAGCGGCCACGACTGTTTGTCCCCTACATTTTGTGCCACAAGGGCCACCAAAAAACACCGGGACAAGTCACCCTTCCCGGGCCGCACATCCCCCACAATCCGAGCTCAGGAAACTCCCCCCCGGCTGCCAAGGGACCCGCGGCCCCGCCACAAATAACCGCGAGCTAATTGAGGGCGGCTAATTAGGCACAGCCAGGCTGGGACAGCCGAGGGAGGTGTCCCAGGAGGTGCCACCGCCGCTGGCAGGGCTCCTTAGCGGTGACACGAGAACGGAGGATCCCCGATCCCCGCGCAGCGCCGACACCGGGGGACAGCGCCACTGTCCCCGCGTGGCACCCGGGGATGGAGCTGGAAAAGGCTGGAATGATCCCGCGGGATGTGGGATCCAGCCCCACGSGTGGAGCTCGGGAACAGCCCCGGGGGTGGGCGYGGGGGTCCCCGACTCACCACGATGCGGGTCTCGTTGGGCGGCAGSGTGTCGATGGCCAGGCTGCCCCCCACCAGGTCCTGGCTAATGCGGGTCCCCTCGGACGCGTCCCGAGCCCTCCGGCCCTCGCTCCCGGGGGGGCGTCCTGGGGGG